ATTTTCATAGCGGCGACATGTTTTACTCTTGTGCCCCGCTTACTTGCACGACCGGAATCTGTAGGTAGCTCTAGGTGGGCAAGGTACGACGGATGAAAAGCTTAAGTCACGTCGATTGTGGACCCAATAGTCTGAAACACGGCAACGATGTGACACCAAGGCAATCCCATATATTAAAAGTTGAACATGAATAATTCAAAGCTTTAGTCTCGACACGCCAAAATCTTGCATAGCCTTTCTTTAAGGCAAAAAATCCCCCAGGAGTAGATCGTGACACTTCATAATTGCCCGCATCTTCTTGTTCTGTATTCCAGAACGCTCGCGCACGAGTAGTCACTGTAAGGTCTTGTGCGGTCCGTTTCTTGATATGATCTTGCCATATACTAAACCTGTTACTAGCTTCCTTCGCCAGAGCGTTTATTGTCTATAGAGGTGTTGCATCACGAATAACATTGACGAGAATCGTATTGTTATCACTCCCAACAAAATTGGTAGTGCGTCATCCAAAGTGTACACGGTGTCATCGGTGGCATGTAATTATCGAAAGGGAGGTTTCTTGTGAACATGTATGTGTTGTAACAATTAATTTCACTCGAAATCGTGCTGTTCCCATGATCACTAGCATGCACCGGCATATTAGCAAAGACTGTCCATGAAAGTTGGGACGATGTCTTTAAAGAAAGTGGCCGCATCATCTCCGAAATTTGACCGATTTTCCGTGAGAACCACATTGTAGTCAACCTCTGTCTCTGTGAACTGAATTTCCACACCACGTTTGCAAATTTGAAACCAGAACAGCCAAAGTTGCGCTTAAAATTACGCAATATGTGTCGCGCAGAATCGAATTTGAATACTCATACCCGTCCTTATCGACTCTTACTTCACGGCCTCTTAAACTTTTCCACGATCGCACATTACAGCGACTTTCATGAATTTAATTCCAGCGTCGATACACTGAATAAAAAACCACGCAATGTTGTCCTTGTTTTTACGTGAGCAAACGCTGATGCGAGCTTGACGTATTGTACGTTATCCTCTCGTCCAATAAGGGGAAATACCACGCCATTATACTTTCCGTGACGAGAATGGGTGCTGTCAAAGCCAACCAAGAGATATTGAAAGGGTAGCTGTCCACGGAAACTACGAATGTCACAAAAAATCGGAAATATATTGTGTTGATCCACTTTAAGTGCCACAGTACCGTTTGGATTGACGCGCTTTCATGTCACCAAGTGTGGGGCAAGGAGTGCTAAAGATAATTTTCATTCTCCTTCCATGTCAATAACCACCGCATCCTTGGAACCTACAAATCTTGTTTCGATACAAATGCAGATTAGTTTCATCACAAGCCCGTACTAGCGCCACAATTGAATTGCGCTTAATACCCTTGTCGCCTCGAACCACGGCATCGAAAGTTGACAGCAGTTAAATTTGCGGTGCTGATGGTTTGGCGACAGCCATGCATACAATGGAGTGGCTGTCGATAAACGTATAAGCGTAAAATTCGGTAGAGCCACGGATCCAGCCTCGCTTAGTCACACGTGCCATGCACGGGCATTCATCTTGTGGGCATAAATATTATATGCTTGTGCCACTACTCTTCTTCACCTTGCACTGTCGATTTTGATTGAAGCAGTGATTTTTATATACGCGGTTGCAGCAACGCCGGATTGAAAGGTTAGTCCATACGTCAGGTCAGGAGTACCGTGAAAAGCGTTCAATTCGATTGCCGCAGTTCCTCGAGACATCTTGATGTTACGTTTACGCTTTGAGGCTTAAACCTACCAGTCAAAAAACAAAATAGTGTGATGCAGTAAACAATCCAATTTTTCTTTAATATTGCTTTTTATTTAGTACTGGCTTCCAAACAATTTGAGATCCGTATGAACAGTCCTCAGGTTGTTTCCTGCCTGTCAGTCATACTCCTCGCACTGCTATACATACACACAAACATAGCCCGCAATCGTTAAACATCACAACCGTCATTTACAGTAAGAACTGACCTGTTGCTGCCACTGCTCACGAACGGTACTGTGTCCTAACGGGGTCCCCACGATCACGAGCTAGTCGAGTTCGTGCGACCAGGACTGGGCTCGCATGCAATGTGCTCACTGCGAGTGGGCACATCGGGGCTTGGGCGAAATTGATAAGTGGACGAACATTGGTAAAAATGGAGCGTTTGCGACCACTGTGTGACAGTTGTCTATCAAATGGAAAGACTCGTTATCAATCAAGCAGTTTCTTGTCCCATGTTGCAGCTAAGTATAATGTGGCTAACACTATTTATTTATATTTTACTACTTAAGTTAAGTATGAGACTGGTTTTGGGACTTTTGTACATTTGCAGTGCTGGAAATGAAATTTGCCTACGATAATACTCACCTTGATGTATTTTCAGATGAATGACACGTAACGGGGTGAGCCTGTTACATGCGGGCTTACCTCGTTACAACACACTCGTGATCGGCAAAGAAGTGATTATCGCGGGGAACGATGCAACGACGTGCAAGGACAACTGGTGGGTATCCGAATATCGGCGCGGCGCAGAGACGCTTGCACTTCGTAGTAGCGGGTTGTTCGGTATAGGATCTATGTGAACGAAGGGCCATAGCACTGCATCAGGTCGTAAAGAGAGGTAGACGGAATGGGTTTCCAATTGCACGATAAAATAACTCAGCTGACCTACCATTCGTGCTTGAGGAGCAACAGCCTCAGGCAGCATCAAGAGAAACTGTTGCAAGAAGTCGCAGTGAAGGCTGTGTCAGCTTGATCGAGCTTGCATGTCGATTGATGATGTCTCGTGTCTATTGACGTTACAAACCAATGACACTTCCGCACGCTTGGACCAAAACCTTCATCTAGTCACGCAATCTACTTCGCAGGTAACGCGATCGCTACCGACTACCACGTCTTGTTACGACTACTGCTTTGTCATTTTTAAGTGGTGATTATCCCATAGAGGTAGCGGCTGCATTAGTTTGTCACAACAATCATTATCGTCATACACTGCAATTGAAAGCCAAGACAGTTGTGACACAAAAGCGTTTAGTAATGTTAGCACCTTGCGCGAATGCGCGATATCTTAACTAAACCCCTCAGCACACGCGTTTATTAATGCTCCTACAAAGAGACTCCTCGCCAGAACATACGCCGAGTCCGACGCGGGTGTCCCAAATAACGTTCATATAGTGGTGGAGCTGTATCCACACATCGCCCGGCTTTCTTGAGCGCCCCTACCACAAACTTTATAGCGTCTATCACCGGAGTAAAGCGTTCTTCGTTCTCATCGACGCTGGTAGGCTGTTTACCGTGCAAGGTGATTACTGCTCCATGCAGACCCTTCGGGTGCTTGACGTTGTCTTCGCGAGCGTGAACAGCTGAAGTCGCATCGGAAGTGGCAGCCGTAGAAGCCACTGGTCCAGCGCTTGCCCCAACGCTGGCTAACGCCGAGAGCAGAAACAAGAGCAACAGGCGCATAATCTTGGGTCGGGCGCGCGACACGGACGGGAATGCGTTGTGCGCACGAAATGGAATCGACACCACTAGGTCAGAGGAGCAAGTGGACCGGGGTGTGGTCTGCGGCAGAACCACGTGTTCTGGAAACGAAATAATTCGAAACTGATGACAAGATTTTAATGCCCTTCCACTATGCTTTTCTCACGGTACCACCTATGTGGTGTTGGTCTCTTGATCGCCACTCGGGGTAATGCAGCAACGGGCGCAGCTAAAAATTTTTGCAATCCCGTCAGATTTGAAAGCGGACCTGCGGGCATTACTACACTTCAGGTATGTATGAGCGTATCGACTGGTCCTCGAGAGTCGCAGTGCACAATACGAAGTACCAGTCGTATGAGGCTGATCGTCCTTCCCGCCGAGAAAGCCTGCCATCCGAAGTCTCCCGCAGTGTCATGTATACAGTAGTGCCTTGCCCGTCAACTGCAGACGCCATCCTTCTGACGCCAATCAATGTCGCCAAACAGGTATGGACTAAACGAATGTGGATTTCATTGGTGTCCATGCGCACCGAATAGCATCCATAGCGGCCGCGCCGCAAGTGCGTAAGTTAGTCCTGATATCGATTCCCACCTGTCAACGTTACGATAGGACCATACTTGTACATACGCGTAGCTTTCTGCGTCAGTCAATAATTGCAGAGTGGCAATTGCGAGGTGATTGTAGCGGTGATTGTAAGACACAAGGAACAGCATATCGATGAGGTCGTACAACTTTGCCTGGTCATGCACTGACTCATGCACATCGGGTGCGTAATCCAGCAATCGATAGTGTCGCAGTCAGCTGCCCGGTATGATTCAGTCGTAGCAAAGTCCGGATAAGGCGTCGACGTTTGGCCTTATGGAAGTAGATCGAAGCGGCCTTTGCCATCGCAGTCGCACGCATCGTCAGTGCACGCTGTTCGTCGCAGCTGCATCGTAGTAGTCGATACATCTGAGCTTCAACAGGCAATTGGCGGAGGTTCATTGGCAAAGAACACGTGGATGTTGTGCCGCCCCATGGTTTACTAGTGCATTGGTAAGCGAAGTTGATGCCACCACTACCTGATGCAATAGAGGCAGAAGAGCGCCTTGGCGATACGTGCGACCGCTGTTTATATCGACACTGTTTACAAACACGACGTCAATACGTTTTTGGTGCAAACAAGCACTTGCTATACAATCATGCGAAAAGGAATAGAAGGGAGCAATCGTTGGCCAGAAAGGCGCAACACTTACTGAATGAATATACCTCAGTAGCGACAACGCTGTTACAGCATCTTCGCAGCACAGCAGCTCCAGTGCCTGTAGTGCATACAGTAACTACAAGCGGTTCGTACTGCTGCAGGTGTGAGGGTTCTACCCAAAACAAGGCCTAAACTCACGTACCACACGTAAACTTCGCCTCCGCCTTTTTCAACCCATCCGCGTTTGGCGCACGTCACATACGAGTTACGACGACCGCCACCGGCACCACGCGACAACGCCAACGCGAGCGACCGACCGACAATGACATCGAGCATCGACATGGACGCCGAATTGGCGCAGCTCGTGCGCGAACAGGAGCTCTTCCTTCAGCTGCAGAAGCGTCCGTCGGCAACCGTCACACGGTGTGGCAGTGCGCCCGAGCGAGCATCTGACGGGCACCCGAATCCAGAGCTCGTGGATCCCGCGCCTGGACACGACGCTGGTCAAATGCTGAAGAATGTCGTGGAGCGCCACGCGACGGTATCAGTGGGTCTTAACGAGCGGTTGGTGCTCCGTGGGTTAAATCCAAAAAACCCACTGGGGTTTCCAAGTGTCGCTCGACGGCAGGGGCTAGGGGACAAGAAGGACGATCGTCGTGGTCGTACGAAAACCTCTCGTTTTGGGCGACGACGGCGCGCAGCGCAGCTGCATGCGGACAAAAAGACGTCTGACACGGAGGAAATGCGCGCAATTGACGCGATGAACCGCGCGCGCGTGCGGGACATGAGCGCGCAGGAGGTGCAGGAAGCGCAGCAAGAGCTCGTGCAGACGCTGGACGCGCAACTGATTGCCAAATTGCGGAGTCGACGCCAAACTGTGGAAGTCAGAGCGAGCATTCACTCGACCGAACGCGCGCGTGTGTTGACAGAAGAAGAAGAAAAAGAAGAAGCAGCAGATGGTAAAGATGGAGTAGATGGAAAAGATGGAGGAGATGGAAAATATGGAGACGATGGGGAGGAAGGCGTGACACGGGAGATGCACACGACGCACATGATGCAACAGCTGGCAGCAGTCAAGACGGATGAGGAGCTCCAGGCGCAAGTCGAGCTCTTGCCACTGGAAGAGCGTGTGAAGCTCGAATGGACGCAGCGCCAGAGCGGGACGATCAAAGACAGAAGACGGAGTGGACAGCATCAAGCGCGTTGCTTTGCAGACGCGACGCTCGAGCGCTTTGACTTGGACGGGAATCTGCTCGAAGCGACGGACGCCGAGTTGCCCGTGCATTCCGGTTTGTTCCACCACGGCGACGACCCAGAAGCTGCGGGGTACACTGTACCGGAGCTGTTGCACCTCGCACGCAGCACTGTGGCGAGCCAGCGCGCCATAGCGCTCCAAGTCGTGGCCAAAATCCTACATCGACGACAGTTGCTGGCAAACGCTTCTCTTCCTCTTGTGCCACGAACACTCCCTCGTGACATGGCAATGACGCTTCGAATTGTGCTGGACGACCACAACTATACGGTGCTAGGTGCTGCTGTGTCTGCCCTTCATGCGTTTGTCGTTCCTGTGGAAACTGACGATTGTCTTCTTGAGAAGCGCTTGTATCCTGAGCTCAAGCATGGCACCGTTGTACTGCCTCCGAGAGTTCACCTCCACCGCAACGGACATGGCGCTCAAACGAACATCGAGGACTGTGACTCATACGACGCTGAAGAGGTGGTGTACATTGACACAAGCGAGGCTGACGATGGATCGAGTATCAGCGACGAGGATATCGCGGCTCTGGATCCGGTCCAAGCTCTTCTTAACATGGAATTAGGCACGCGGCTATGCTACGTTCTCGATACGATTCAGCTGCCGGATCAGAACGTTACAGAGAAAATGCTGGAAATTTTGACCGCGGTAGCTCTTCATTCTCCGCGCGCAGCTCACGAACTCAGCTCAAATGCCAGACTATTGAGATTGTTGCAGCAGCAGTACATTGAGAGCGAAGAAGTGTTGACTTTCCAAGAGGGTAACGCACGGTCGCTCAGGCTGTCGTTGAAGGCCTTACAGCTAGTGCGAGGCCTTTGTCAGGGACACCGCAGCGTAGCTTCTGCACTTCTAGCGAACGGTGTTATCCAAAGCACGAAGGGTTTCCTAGCTCTCGAAAACATGTCCACTGATGAGAATGACGAAGAAGCTGTGGCATTGTTCGGTGAGATGCAAGTGGAAAGCCTCCGCATTTGGCGCACTCTCCTTGGATACGGCCTCGATTTTCACTGTTTTGCGTACTTATTTCCCTTGCTATCGGGTTTTACGTACAGCTGCTCGGGAGCGTCCAGTGCACGGAACTCGGCTCTCTTTGCTGCGCTGGAAGCCTTCTGTGGGCTCGGGGCTGTGCATGAGGCGCAGCACTATTTTAATCAACTGGGCTTTTTCTTGAGCGCTGCAAAGGACGTATTTGTTCGAAGTGTTCGTTCATCGTCTGTACTAAAAGACCACACGGCTCTAGTCCTGCTTTCGACGGTGCTGAGGTTCCTGTCAGCTGCCAGCACTCATGCTGTCAAGTACAACTTGGAGACCAGCGGGCTCATGGAGGTGTTGAAGCTTGTTCAGTCACATGAGGTAACACGAAATCTGCTGCCTCGGCTGCACGAAACGGTCGCAAAGCGAGATCTGCTACTGGCTATCGTTCGTTTTCATGGACAGATGGTTGCCAACGGCTTATTGCCCGACGACGTGGATGATGGTGAGATTGCGCAGACATTTTTGCGTGAAGTGAAGGCGCCTTTGCTTGCTGCAGCGACTTGCGCTGTCGCGTCATCGTCGTCCAGATTCAGCTTTGCTTCGATTCAAGCGTGCGAGCTCACTTTACTATCAGGTGATCTCATTGCTGCTGGTGAGAACGTCATTGCAAACTCAGATGTAGAGTTCGTGCAAAACGTGTACCGCCAGGCCTTGATCCTTATGGAGCGCGTAGGTCGCGGGGGAGAACACTTGATTGCGCGTTTGTTCGCCCAAGTGTTGTTTCACAAGCGTGTGCTTCTGTTGCTTGGAGTCTTCTATGAAGAAGCTGATGCAGCACGTATGAGTCATGTGCTAGTTCCCATTTATCAGGCGTTGGTGAACGTGACGCACGAACAAGAGGAGCACCATGCTCATATTTTTGCCGGTGCGTCGACGACCAAAAGGCTCTCGCATCATATGCGGCTGCCCCAGAAGGAGCAGACGTTTACTCATAGTAATCTACCGCTACCAAACTTCTGGATGCTGTGTCCTTTGTCACGGATCGAGTACTGTGGCAGTGGAGAAAGCAGTCGAGGGAGTGACGTAAATCCTACGAGAGCGCAGAGTGACGAAGTGAAGCTGGTTCTTAGTGCAACGTGTCGTTATGTATTTGAGCTCGAGCGACTGGCGCCACAGATGACGTTTATCGCTCCCATTGCCAAATTGCAACCGGAAGACAAGCTGTTTCACTTGCTTCACGTCTTCTTCGCTGGCAGCGACGTCCTCTTCGACAATCACGTGGACACAGCGCTACGTCAACTACTTCCTACACTCGTTCAGCCAATTCTGCGCCCACTAGGGGACTCGCGAGGCCTCTACAAAGGCATCCTTCGGAATCTCAAGCGCATCGAAAGCCTCGAGTCGGGGAAGGTGGACGAACCGTCAATGAGTCAACGCGCTGTTTCCTTTACGTCCGATGAGCTGCAAGTGATGACTTTCGTGGAGAAGCTGATGTGCGAATTCACAACCACGTCGTATGGCAACTCGCATTTTGCACATTGTGTGACACTGCTATTGGCACGCGATTTCCCCCTAGAACTGCGAAGGTTTGTCTGGCAAGAGCTGCATGAGTCCCATTTGCTGCATACGCTGGCGCCTTTTGAAACATGCAGCTCAGAGCTGTTCATGCGGTGCACCCGAGGTGGCGCAACGCTTGCCGCCGATGCCAAGATGCTGCAGCTCATGCAACAGGTGGTGTGCAAGAACCAGGTGTCCCCTGCTCGGGGCGCTTTTGCTTACTCGCTTGCTATCCACCATCTTTTCGTCTACCTGTTCGAAGAGAGAGGCGACGGCGCACTTACTTTTGCGCGTCAGCATGTTGCGCAGATACTTATTGCTGAAGCATCTCTAGCCATTTGGGGCCATCTTTTGAGCTACGACGCATCAATGAACTCGTCGATGCTTACCAGTGAATACGGACATCCGCTGCCTGAGCGTGTGGCGAAGATTCAGACACAAGCCGCGCTTTCGTCGGACCAGCTGTCAGCGTTTGAGACGATTGTATCAGGACTGAAAAGCGCAAGCACCATGGAATGAACAAGGTATGAGACGCATGCAAAGCTTACCAGCATTAGCATTCAGACCACCGTTGGCGTGATCCTCTTCCTCTTCTTTGTTAGGACAGCTGAGTTCGGGGTTGCTTCTCGTGCTGCGTGCCTCGCGTATTTGAAATAGAGCAGAGGGCGCACAGTGTCTTGACTCGCGTTTGCCAACCCACGGTGCCATACGCGATAGTCCATGATGATAGGCGTCCCCGCATCAACACACGCTGTGGCACTTGGCAAGTGTGCGTAACCTTCGAAAGCCGTCCCAAGAGCTCCGTTGTCATGAAGGTGTGACCTGATCTTCATCTCGGTGCCTCCAGTCTGATGCGTGATGGCTACGAGCGGCACGAATACGTTGAGACGATTGACTGTACACAGCAGTGAAACACACCACACGCGGTTGTCAATGTACATGCACCTATCCACCTCAGCAGCTACTGTGTCATCTCACCAGGTTCTTGGACGTGCTGGTTCCGGTGAACGCCATCCAAGTGCCAGTTCTGATCGACATCTCCCGGTCGCGAGAGCACACAGCCAATGTACTCGAGCTGGAATCCATCAGGTGCAAAGATCTCCTTGAGCGCCGCTTGCCAAATTGAAGTCATGGCGTCTAATTGACTCATGTCCACGGAACGTATGGTCGCGACTGGTCCGCTTTTCGAACAATGAGTATGGGAAGCTGACGTGCTCAATTGCATGTCAACCCGACCTCCTTGTCGCACGTAGAAACCCGAAAGACGCTCGGAATGTTCACACAGGTTCAAGTCAAGCTCCTGGTCGGCAGCTTCGGTCAGAAAGTCTTTATATCGACGAAGCACCTGAGTTCGTACACATTCCACAAGGGACGGAGAGACTTTAGACGTCGCTCCAGACAGAACGACGAACCCGTCGCTGTGGACTTTCTGAGCGACGTTAGTGGCACTCATCAAAGGCAAAAGTTGTAGTATACTAAAAGGCTCAGCCTTTGCTAAGTTTCGCGTGTATCGAAATGATCGTTTCGCTCTCGCGCTGCACAGTGCTGTACAATGCAGGATAAGAGCAGCCGTATACCGTATACTGTAAGACCTGGTCGTCTTCGACCGACCGACCGACCGACCGACCGACCTTGAAGCACGTCCGTCAACAGTGCGACTTGGAGCGCACCATAACTGCGGGTGTCTTGTCGCCCTTTGCCAAGTCGGAGACGAACGCAAAGTTTGGGTCCGAGCGCCGTTCGCCGTCCGACTGCACATTGTCTTCGTCCGCTTCACGCGCCTTCGACAACAGGTCCACGTCGTTGCACGACTCGTCCGCCTCCCTCAGCTGCTCGCGACCTTCGCCAGTGTCGACACTGCCAACCGATCGAGTCACCGACACGTCGTGCCCTTCGTCTGGCGTTCCGAGACACGCGCGTCGTAGGTCCACCCCGAGGAACTTGCCCAACGCCATTGTGAACAACCGCTTCGTGCCGTGACACGTCGACGCCGTCGTGGCAATGCGGACGCAGCACTCTAAGAACGACTCGAGCACCGGCGATCGCGCGTGGACGTCTTCGAGACTCGGCGGCAGCAGCGTCCGGCGGGGGAACTTGACCGCGGCGAGCGCGTGACACGACGCCGCGCACTCGACGCACTGGGCGCACCGAGGGCGCGCCAAGAGCTCCATGAGCTCCACCCCCGCCGATCCGTGCGGCGGCTCGTCACCGTCGGCCTTCAGCGACGTGTTCGTACGCGCCACGCGCCGCCCGCGACAGGTCTTGAGTACCTCCAGTAGACGCTTCCGCAGGAAGAAAAAGCTGCGGAAGCGCTGGATGCAGCGTCCGTGCAGCTGCAGCTCGGCCACGGCAATGTCCATCGTGTAGCGCACGTGCTTCGACTCGGTCGGGCCGCGCACGACGTACAGACCTTTGAACTGCACCATGAGCTTGTCCAGCTCGTGCCAATAGGGACTCTGCCGCTCGCGTCGCATCGGCGCAGTGGCCGACGACGTGCGACGGTCGTGTGGTCGTCGACCGCCTGCGCCTTTCGGCGCTAGGGACGTGCACGACGGACAGTCGTCCGGCTCTCCGCTGGCGGTCGCGCCCAGTGGAACGGTCGTGGCCGTGCTCGACGGTTGTCGCGCGACGGTCCTATTGTCGAGGACGAGCGACATGGCGTCTGCCGAGACAAACGAACGAGCACTTGCACCGACTGAACGGCACAAAAAGGGCTGACAGTGAGCAGACTGAGTGCGTCGGTCGGCGACGCGAGAGATCACCACCGTGTGGGATTGAAGTGGGCGTGCGTGAGTGAGCGAGTGAGTGAGTGTAGTGCACTATGTTTCTGACAAGGGCGCACGACGGACACGCTCGTGCTGCTGCATGCTCTGCTGGGCGGGCGTTGCGCGTGACAAACGCGACAGAGAGTTTGTGGATGGCACGAGCGCTGACCTTACGACTGGACGTTCGCGTGGAAACCACTGCGTTCGCTGAGAAGCTGCAGCGACGTGCGCGTGGCAGCTTTCGGGTGGTTTTTACACGCGCTGGATGGATGGACCACGTGGTCACGACGTCGTTGTTGGTTCGCGCACGGACATCAGTGGAGACACCGACTGGTTTGTTACGACGCCAGGCGTTACGTCTGCGTCGTTTACAAACGGTCCGATGGGGTGCTGTCGCCGTGACGACGCAGTCCGTGCAAACGCGACTGCGCTGCCAAGTGCGATCAGTATCTGCTTATCGCCGGCAATTCCGCCAGTCGTTTCGAGCGGAAGTACGTACCCGACCTGAACGTCCAGCGTCGAGGCCGTCGTCTCCACAGCACCGCACGAGCACAAGAACGTCAACGGCCAACAAAAAGGTACATGCAAATGGCCATTCCCCGCCCTCTTCTCATCCTGATCATATGATACACGCGCCGCCTCACCCCCCCCCCGCTCCACCCCCCACACATGTCTCCCTCTCTTCGCTGCATAATATCTCCCTAACCGTTGCACGACGTTCTTCACCAGCTGCTGCTGCATCGCTAACCAGCCTGCAGTCCGTCGAGGAGACTCGGCCGGTGCGTCTCGTAGCCACACTATCCAGAGACATTGTCGTGGCAGGCGGTGTCCGTTCCAGCTCCACAGCTTCTCTTCTCCTTCTGCTTCTTCTGCCCGCCACGAAAAGCAGAAGCTCGCGCAGCCGTGAAAAGACGTCGCGCTGTCTCAGTCAGACGCCCAGAAAGTCCATTGCAGACGATAGCGCTTGTCGCGTGCGAACAGTCGCGGGCTTGGCGTCTTTGGGGTTCACAGTCGGGTCGATGAAGCCGTTCGCGGCGCTCTGCTGCGCCCGTTGCGAGTCGGACTGGAGACTGCGCACGATCACAGCCTCGTGCTTCCGCTTCTCGCTCTCCTCGCGCCGCACCTGTTTCTCAATATCGTACTTCTTCTGGTGCATCCGATAGAGCTCCTTCTCCGCGCGCCGCAGCCGCTCTTCGGCCATCGCGCGACGTCGCGTCTCCTCTTCGAACCGCAGTGCCCACGACTGCAATTGCTCCTGCAGCGCTGCTTTCTCGTGCTGCCATCGTCTGCCATCAAGAGAAGACACACACACACACACACACACAAAAGGGAATCCATATCTTAACTTGGAGATCCACCCGCCAGCATACGTGTCGAACACGCCAACATCAAAAAAGCACAAGATATAAAAAATAAAAACTACTTTTCGTCGTCGGCTTTCTGCGCGTCCAGCGTTATGCGGTCCAGCGCCTCCTGCTCGAGCCGCCGCTCCAAGTCCTCGTTCACGTACTCGAGGTCGTTCTGGCGTCGCGCCTGCGCCTCGACAAAGCGCTTGGCATCGGTCAGCTCGTTCTGGAGGCGCTGCACCAACTGACTGTCGTTGCGGTGCTCGCGCTCAAAGAGCGGCACGCTGTCCATGTCTGCGCGCGAGCCACAGGCGGTCGTCCCCCACTTGTTCGCGCCGGCGGCCTGTGGACCGAGCATGGCCGCGGTACGGACGACCTTCGAGCGACAAAGAGCCAGGCGCGCCCCGCGAGAGTGGCTGCCTCTCAGCTCTCGTGCTGACTGGCCGGAATTCAATTTTGCGGTCCGAAAGCTCCGGCCGCACACGGAAAGCGGTGGGGAGAGCTCTGGATTGTCGCAGGAGGCCTTTTGTTGCCGGGCCCCCAGCAGGTCAGAAAAGGAAGCAGACAACCGAAGGGATAGTGGTAGCGCATGACGTCAAATCTGTTAACCCGTGAGGTTCGCATGCGGTACTTGGGTCGAACTCGGCCCGTTTCGACTTGCAGAACAGTATAGTCGGAAGCACCTGATTCGCTTCTCGAAACAGAAAGCCATTCGTTCACACAATGATCTGGTGCTGCTGCCGACCTCGAGCAGTGTCGTCTCCTCTGCGCGAGCCACGTGCCAACATTTCGGCTGAAGTTGCGTCACGCACGAAGCATCTGGTGCGTCCGCAGACTGAAGTACAACGAATTGACCGCAGCAGCCCATCTCTTGCCTCGGCCGTTGTATGGAAACAAAGTCACTGTGTTTACGCTGTCTGCGAACGTAACGTCGTTGCATAACCGCTGACGCAGCGACAGTCACGACGTCGTTCTGGCCACGTAACAGCTGCGGGAATGGCTCGAATTCTTACCGTCGGTCTCTGGCTCACGCCGTCTGGTCTTCTTCCCCGCGAGGCTCTGCGTCCCGTTGGACACGAGGCACGAGACCAAACATCGTATCCACCGAGACTTTGCCCTACGCAATGCCACGTTCGACAACGTTAGTCTCACGACGCAGTCGCTCGTTATTTCACAAGAGCCACACGTACCATAGGGCCATACCGCGCACCAGCGAAAGTGCGACCGTGAGCTCGCACAGTTGCCAGGAGAGCCACACTGTCGTCTTGAAGCTGCTGGGCTTTGTCCCCTACCAACAGTCGATGGAGCTTCTGGTACGCGCTTCGGAGCAGACACATTGCAAGGCCACTTGCGACAAGTACATTTTGCCAGAACCCCTGGCATTCATATGTGAACCACGAGCACTCCACACACGACGCAGCGCCTGGTGCTGCGTCAGAGCCTAATGGACACGCGTTGCATCCGTCTTGTCCTGTCGTTGCGGCAAATGTTCCTCGAGGACACAGTTTGCACTCCAACGCACCACTGCTCGACGAGAACGAACCCACGGGGCACGGCTGACACGATCTTTCCGACTCGTCAATGACAGTAAAGTGTGTTCCTGTCGGACACGCCACGGCGCGAGTTGAAACGAATGGAGGCGCCAACATGGACACGTTGACCAAATGGTACTGCCACGCTCCATTCAGCAAGTGCTGGCGGTTGAACTGACGTACCAAGCCACCTCGGAACGACTTTGACTTCACCAAAGCTGCGAGCTGATCCATACTGCTCGCTGGATGTCCGTCGCCCGCAGCTGAACCCTTAAGCTCGTCTACTAACTCATTCAACGCACTTTCAGCGGCTTCTGCTGCTTCCTCTATCGCGTCAGTGAGGCCCTTCGATCGACTGTTGGTATCAGTTTGGGTCTCGGGTGACAATGGGGTTCCCATCTCCATTGCAGCAACGATCTGCGTCAACTGAGCTGCCCCAAGAGGCTCGTGAACCTGCAATACATGCAGCGGACGACTTGTACCCGAGTAGCTTGCCAGCGTATCGGTCCAGATCTGAACCAGTGCATCAATCGGCGACACGTGATCATCTTGAGTGAGGAGATCGTGTAGCCTCACACCTGCCAGATCCACAGCTAAGCGCGGCCATTCCACGTGATCGTACACTTCTCCTGGCTCGGCTAGAATGCACTTGTCTCCACCAGGCAGGAAGCTACAGGATGGCACTTTGCATGGTTTGCACGTCGTCGAGCCCTTTTGGTCCGAGTAGTAGCTCGGCGGACACCTTTCCGCTCGAGTTGCACCCTCATGCCGGACGAATGAACCAGCAGGAGCCGTGACACACTCCGTTGATCCCTTGCTAGACGCAAAGCTGCCTTTGGCACATTGTGAGCACGTCGTAGAGCCTTCATCACTTGCAAACGTCCCTAGCGAACAGAGCTGACAAGATCTCCAAGACCCGTCGTTGTATGTTCCTAGACCGCACTTCCGTGGCATATTCGTACCGCTGTATCCCCATCCAGAAGCTGCGACGGCAAGACATCCACCACTACCGACACCCTCGGCGACAGTTCCGTTTCCACAATTGCTGCATTCAGTTTGCGCTTCTGCTTTCGCAAACGAGCGTGGACGGCAAAGTGTGCACGTCTTGAGGCTGACGTCGTAGAAACTGCCTGGAAGGCATGGCGAGCACTTGACATGACCCGGTTGAGGCGCGACGTGCCCTAGCGGACACGCATTGCATCCGGCCGATCCAACTCCGTCTTGATAGGTACCTTTCGGGCACAGCAAACACTGTGCTTCTCCGTCAGCGCTCACATAAGTTCCTGCGGGACATGGAGTGCATGCTGACGCTCCGCTCGATCCGGAATAGGTTCCAGCAGGACATTCAGCACACTTTACGGAGCCTTGTTCCGCTGCAAACTGTCCAGGGTTGCATGAAGGACACAGTGTCGCGCCAATGCCAGCTGTAAACGTCCCCTGAGAGCACGGCGGGCAACGATGCACACCGCTCTCGTTGGAAAAAGTACCAGGGGAACAAGGCTCGCAACGGTCAGCCCTTTTACTGGGCACAGTTCCTGCTGGACACGGAAAGCACTTCTGGTCTGTCGTCTCATTGGAGTACGAGCCTTCAGGACATGGTACGCACAGTTCGACGGCTTGACTCGCAGGCATTCGTGCGGTAGCGTCTCTCTCGTGATTCGATGACCCCGCAGTACATTTCGACTTGACGGCACGTCCATTGCCGCAAACGCAGCTGAGATTGCTCGGGAGCAGCGCGGCGGGTAGTGGACATCGAAAGTCATTCCCATCAAACATCGAGGGCTTGGCGAAGTCAGAGCTGTACACTCACCACAATCGTCAAGCGAATTGTCGTAAAAAGAGCAATGAGGTTTGCTTACAGCGATGGAGGAAGGTCAGACAGCAAACCGTTAAAGAAGTTATCGTGAACGTCTCTAGACAAATTCAGACGCATCGAAAGAGGCGGGTAAGAAAGCTGACCAGGTACGACGCAATGGCTCAAAGCAAAAGACTTACAATCGTTGCAGCTTCGACTGGTTGAACAGCACTGGAAGGTCCCCCGTAAAGAAGTTGTGTGATACATCACTGTGGTAAGATCGACGGAAACGAGTGAGCTTGCTGCACTCGGGAGAACAAGTGTGCTTGGCGTACATTACGATCAAGGACGAGTTTTCATCCGGATTATGTGGATCTTCGCGACCCCACGACGAAAGTTGCGATGGAATCGTGCCCGAAAACAGGTTCGAAGAGACGTCGCTGCGTAGAGAAGCATGTTCGACGACGTCGTCAGTTGACCAAGCACATGCTTGTATATGGAACGACCGTATCGCGAAACACAACGTACAAACGCTGGAGGAACTCAAACACAGGTAGCTGGGACAGCTTTCCGTGGAACCCATTGTGACTGATGTTTCTGGTAACGGCAAGCAGTGTCATTCTCACGAAATTGCGGCACGAACGGTCTTAACTCCCGTACATCGTTTGCAGAAATCTGCTGGCAAACATAGTTCCGGGCAGCTCTATCGCAAATTCGTTCGACGACAGGTCCCTGTTTTCCATGCAGAATTTCGTCAATTGTGCAAACACCTGACTAGCAGTACTCCCAGCAGTCGTACAAGTGCTGGAGACGATGAAAGGCATCGAAGAAACGGAGTGTGGATGCCTGGAGACTGTTGCCGGAAAAGTTGCTGCACAGCACACCCAGAGTCCGGTTAGAGTACTTGGGCTACTTCCACCAACGCAACGTCATACATTAGCTCGAGGGCATCGTTATCAGCAAAGGACGAAGGGATGTCGCCTGTCAGCTCATTAGCTGCGAGGTTCAAGAGCCGTAGTATGGTCATATCGCCCAGCCACGGCGGAAGTCCTCCATATAGCCGATTTCCTGATAGATCCCTGACCGCCACACCCCGACGTAATTAGCATTCCATGCAACTTTTGCTACTCATCATGACGCTCAATCGTGATGCAGCACTCACAGTTGCTCGAGTGATACCATGACGCTAAGATCAAGCTTGGCCAGCTCACAGGTTAGTCCCTCGCCCGGAAGATAGCTACACTTGCTACATCAACAACGTCGAAACCCTCACGCAACACAAGTCACGAAACATAATGAGCGTACATGTGTGTCACTGTAGTTGGATCGGTGTGGGGATCACATCGTATTCCTTCCCATGGCCACAAGAAAACGACGTCTTCATCGTTCACACTTTTGTTGGAAAGAAGCACTCGACCAGTACATGGATGCGTCAGCAGCCCATGTGGGCACGACTTGTGATTTCTATGGTGTCCATCATCCAGATACGAGTCCTCTTCGTCGCCAATACACCAGGTGCGCAGCCCTGTCGATTGATTCGATCGGCAATCTCGGTACAGCTGCAACAGAGCATCCATTTCCACCCGAGCCAAGGGATATGCAGTATCAACCGGCTCAGCACTAACGCTATCGTCTGCCATGTCTTTCGTTGCTTCTTCTACGAGTTCTTCTAAGTCCATGAACGGCGACAGCATCTCCATGATTCCATCACTTGTACATTTTCCGATAAGCTCCGACAGCACGATCACAAGCGTCAAGCTTGTCTTCCAGTTTCTCATAGCCACAATCGCGATGCTGTATCGAACAACCGTTTCTTCTCCGTTGCTGTATTTTCCTGTACACAAGATGCAAACAAGATCAAAGGCGGAATGACGACATCGATTATCGGTTCAGCATCACAATTTATGCGTGCTTGTTCGTAAATTGATCGTCGTTAACGTCCAGGTTTGTAAGAGTACACGAGGCGATCCCAAAACGTAGGAATGGAGACCGTGACCTAGCACCGTTGTCCGCTCTATCTGAGCCGTCTCCGTGTTCAGTCGATTATGTTTCAAAACTCAATGGGTAGCGTACACTAAGATAGTGCAGAGCTAGGAGCGCTCGACCGGGCTCTTTTGGTGCAGCCAACGGTCTACTATCGTGCTTCAGCTGGAATGGTTGGTGTCTGGAACGGGAAGCGCGTGAAAAATCATCTCCTCCCGCCGCAAACGTTTAATTTCTTCTTCCTCCAGCTGACGCTCCTGCTGCTCTCGCTGCTTCAGAAACGCTTGCTCTCGCTCGCGACGCTCTTTCTCAGAGGCTTCAAAAGCAGCTCGTTCTACAGCTCGACTCTTTGTTGCCAACATAGGAGACTCAGTCTGAGTGAGAGGCCTTGTGCTGGGAATCGCGTGGATGACATCAGGCTCGAATAGCGGCATAGGTTTCGCACGGAAAGCGCTTGACGACTTCAGACACTGCTGTTCTTCCTCACGGCGTGCTTGCTCTAAGCGCTCGCGGGCTTGGTCGTAGAAACGCTCTCCTGGCAGTTCAAACGGTTCCACTTCAGTGACAAGCTCCGTTGAGCCCTCGAACTTTGGAGGCGTTGCCGTCACACGCATAGGATTTGCTCTAAATACGTGCTGCTTCTCTCTTTTTTCCTCTTCCGCCTCGATTTTGCGACGAAAACTCGCTTGGTACTCCCGGTGAAGCTGGATGCTTTTCAACGGCGGAGTTTCGGGAATTACAGGTCGGCGGACGGGGACCGACTTGTGCTGCGCAGTCGACCCTGCTTGGCGTGCCGCCACACGCTGCTCGCGCTCTTTGCGGTGACGTTCCATTTCCGCAGCAACAGAAGCAGCTCGGTCCGAGGCCGCCATGCGGTTTGCTGAACGTGCGCTAGTCAGCAGCTTTGGTACTGTTGGTTGCTTGAACTGGACTTTGCTGTCCGGTTTTGCGGAAGAGTAGCGAAAGTATGCTTTTGGTTGGAGAATGTGTCGATTCAACGGTCGAGCTTGAAACTTCTTGGCCAGTTCCTCGCTATCGTGATCGATGACTTCCACAGGTCGTCGGTGCGTCGCTGCTCGCCGACTTGTTTCCAATTGCGGGGTCATTGGCTGTCGTGCAAAGCAGCATAGTTGCGTCAAATACATCACTCGCAGCATCAAACCTCGTACAAACAAAACGAACCTGGGTGAGACCACCCACTTTGAGGCGGCTGCAAATCGGGACTGACTTCGCCTTTTCACGCGAAATCGGGGCTGGCGGTGGACGGAGTACAGCTCGCGCGGCTGTTCGAAGTTGCGGCGCATGCGGTGCCTGGCAGAAGTATTGCACATCGCAAACACAAAAATGCGTTAGTAACAGATAGGTAGTGTACGCGTTGCATTTAATGTATCACCGTTGTAGCAGATCGATTCTCCCGGGACTGCAGTGGCAATAACAAGGCAAAGTCACGGGACAACAACTTTTCTGCAGCAATAGGCGGGCTAGGCCTAGCTTGTCCAGACCCGATGCTGTCACTTCCACTATGACACCGTCGTATACGTGTTTGCACGGCAAAACGCGGTGTCAGCGGAACTGTAAGCTGCTTCGTTGACCGCAGATGAACATTAGCTGGTGGGCGCTGTACTTTTGTTTTCTCGTGAAATTCTCGAATCTTGAGTTTTTCCAGCTGTAAATGAAGTCGCTCTTCCTGAATCTTAAGCAATTCCCGACTTGTACTACTCATTCGCGAAGGGTCGTTCGGGTTCACAAGCCGCGATTTCACGTGCATCTTAGGACTGCGCGGGCGTGTAGCACGATGCGGTTTCTCTTCCACAGAAACAGCGTCAAAATTACTCTGCTCCCTCATTCTCTGGTCCGCTTGCAGTCGTCTCAGATACGACTGCGTTGGCTGCATCAACTTTGACGGCATCTCATCGCTTGACAACGTGCTCGCGCTCGATGGGAGCGTCTGCAATCCGTAATTTGTACATCTCGTTCTCGCTTCTCTCAGCGTCGCTGTGGTCGCTGCTGCCGACGACAATGAACTGTACGGCGAAAACTGTCCGTGCGCAATAGAACTGTGTGTCGACGTGTCCGCCTCTTGCAGCAAACACGACGACGCAATCGAAGACTGCGACGACGACGCGTAGTGTCGGAACACGTCTTCAAAACTCTCGTGTCGATCGATCAGCAAGTGGCTCCGGCTCAGCACGTCGTCCACGTCCGTGATCGTGTCATCCAATTCATTTTCCACCATGGTCGTATCAAGCATCTTATCTGCCATTTGCTCCATGTGCTCGTCGGTATCGACCTCCACGTGGTGGTATGCTTCGCTTAAGTACGATTCACACGTTCGCACGCCCGTCTCGGTCGATTGACTGCTCGTTGTCTGTTCCTTCTCGTGCGAGTCAGCTACGGACGCTGCTCCAGACGGCGTCAGCGAAGAGAAATAACCGTCCGCGTTGTTCACGTAATGCCGCTCGAGCCCCGGGTTCGTCAAGTCGTAGAAAGACGGGGCGTTAAAACAAAAGTCCTCGTCTTCGTCTGCCTCGTCCTTGTCATCGCTCGTCACGTCCTGCTCGACCACCGCGACTTCCTCGTGTGCACCAGAGAGCGGTGAAGACAGTTCCACACTATGGTACGACAACGTGCGTGCGGCTTCAGGCGCGAGGGGCTCCATCTCCGTCCCGAGCGCGTCACGAGCGCGCAGTGCGAAGTGGCTACTCGAAAGGTCAACAGGTCGTGCCTGCCAAAGAGAATGATATGTATTGTCCGCGTAATGATCAATTTACAAGGTATATCAATGTATAGAGTATTACACATGACACTCAGTAGGTTCATCTATCCCATCACGTAGGTTCTCGCTCTGTCTCCCACGCACGTCCAATGGTCCTCTACGTCTCGACACGGCGTGCGCGTGTGACGCGTCTTGCGCGCGCAAAGGCTCTGGTGCGTCCCCTCTCTACCTCACTCTCTCAGCATGTGCTCTACACTGATCATATCCAACCCTCAATGCTGCAATGTTACCAGCACACGGTCCGTCGCTGTGGCCAACACGGCACTCTGGACTGCCGCTACTTCTTTTACGACGGTACCGGTCGAAAACAGTCACCCTGGCACCACGTGCCGCTGTACGCAGGAGAGGCCGTTGTCCAGTCAGTAGACGCTCCTCCATCGGCTTTGTGCTACTTTGTCAATGAGATCCCAAAAGGCTCGCGCTACAAGATGGAAATTGCCGGCGACGAGGCATTTAATCCCATCAAGCAGGACGAACGCAAGGGCGTTCCTCGTCTTTATCACAGTGCTTCCTTGGTCAATTACGGCTGCTTGCCGCAGACATGGGAGGATCCACGGTATGTCGATGAAGCGACGAAATACGGCGGAGACAATGACCCGATTGACGTGTGTGAAATAGGCACTCGCGTTGCTAAAGTCGGTGAGATTTATCCCGTAAAAGTGCTTGGGATTTTGGGCATGATTGACAGTGGGGAGACGGACTGGAAGGTCATTGCGATCAATGCCAATGATCCTCTGGCTGAGCAGGTCAATGATCTGAGCGATTTGCGCAAGACGCCACTGCATGATGTCGTGTCGCAGGTGCACCGGTGGTTTCGAGATTACAAGATTCCCGATGGAAAACCGCCGAGTGACTTTGCATTCAATGGCGAAGCTCAATCAAGGGAGTTTGCTCTCGATGTGATCCAGCAGACGCACGAGAGCTGGAAGCAACTGATAAGAGACGAGGCAGGTGGCAGCTCAAAACTTTGGACTTGTATCGCGTGATGCCCACGTTTGCAGCAAAATCGGTACAGCGCACCGTCCGCTCACAAGTAGTCGTCATTGCCACTGTACTTGTCGAAGACAGGTGCCGGTTGTACGATCTCTTACGTCCTCCTACATCATGCACGATAGGCAAGAACGGGCCCGTGGAACGTCGCCCTGAACACCAGTGAGACAGTGCTTCTTGTGTGAAACCGAAATTGCATGGCATCATGTAGTTCAACTATCAACATTGGCTATATTGCTGGTTGAGTTCATTGTTGGAGGTCAGCGAGTTGTGGTCCAAGTAGCGCATTACACACAGCATTCTGATGGATCAGGCAAAGCTCGACCACTGCGACGGAAACTGTGGCGGCACAAGCCGATGCTGGGCTTTCCTTCTCCATTACAACGGTATATCCAGAAGCCGGCCAACTATCGTGTCTGTTCGGATAAATCGGTTATCGGATAATCTTGAGCTTGCGCATTTATCACATCTGCTTCTAGCCACATGCGGTCTGGATCACAAGGTAAATGTTTTCGACGCGACTGCAGGTCGGCAACTTCAACAGCATTCCAATCTAGTTTGTTGCCGTTTTCCACGTCTTCACGAGCTCCGTTTTTTGTTATTCTACTAGTTCTGAGCGCGTGTGAATCAAACCTCTGCCAAATGTTTGATGTGAATGTAACCCGGGATCGGGATGAGTAGCGATGAACAGGAATTTACTGCTTGAACAGAATAGCTTCCTTCGGCTCTATGGGCTTTATTGGGCCGGATGTCAGGCAGCACGATGTCAGGCCGGGCCATTCGCTCTAAGGTCGGTCTCGTGAAGTGGTTCAGAGACCTTTGTGAAGATGTCCCGTCATACGGTCACGAGTAGCCGGGTCCACTTCAACATAGCGTACGAATTGAATACCGAAAGAAGCTTCGCCCTGGGTCTTCGAGCGCAATACTGTTGCGTAGCCGACCATATGTGCCAATGGAACGTGCGCATGCACTATGGAGCGACCGCGGTCACTAATGGAATCGACGCCGTCACCACCAGAAGCTGACTCCACCTCTTTAATATGTGCACGCCTTTGAGAGCTCAAATCAGCAAGCACATCGCCCACACAGCGATCAGGGCAACGCACTTCGAGCTTCATCAGTGGCTCCAGGATGACCGGATCTGCTTCTTTCAGGGCTTGCTTGAGTGAAAGCGCAGCCGCCGCGCGAAAAGATGCTGCACTCGAGTCGGAATCCCATTCGCAATCGACTTCATCCACCGTGACCTTTACATGAGCAACACGATTCGGTGTTAGGACTCCGCGACTTAGCCCAGCCCACAGACCTTCTTCGATTGCCATAGCAAAGGCACGAGGCATCTTTTTCGCACCCTGGTTCGCCCATTGTACGACATTGCTATCGTTCTGATCAGCAACGCCGTCGTCGTCCTCTCGGTCCTCTCTTTGGTGCTCAAGCAGCGGATCCACGCGGACTGTCAACTTGGCAAAGTGGCGGTCCGTTCCCATCACGGTATCGTGCGTGTACGGTAAAACAACAGAAGTCGCAATGCTCTCCAGGTAAGCAACACGCATAGCACCAACGCAAGGTTCCAGCTTATAGTCGCTGCGTAGTCGCTCCTTGATGATATCGAGATGAAGCTCTCCCATGCCAGACATGAGTGTTTGGCCACTTTCATGGTCAATTGAAACTACAAAACTTGGGTCCTCGCGCTGCAAGTACTCCAGCGCTGTATCGAGGTCTTTCTGCTTAGCAGACGACTCGGCCTCGATCGAACACGTAAACACGGGCTTAGGAACTTGAATTCCTAGCAACACGATCTGACGTGCTGCGTCCTTCGCACTCACCAAGGTGTCACCTGTGAACGTGTGCTTCAGTCCTACAGCAGCGCCAATGTGGCCAGCTGAAATGCTTTCTACAATCTCCTCGTCGTCTGCAGCAACATGCATCAATCTCGTCAACCTTTCCTTGCGACCACCGCGGGAGGCATTTATCAGCTGGGACTTGGCATTCAGCACACCCGAATATACGCGAAAGAAAACCACCAGACCGCGCTGCCGATCGTGCTGCACCTTGAAGGCAAGTGCACACAGCGGCTCACTTGCAGATGCTTTGACTTGAACTGCTTTGTTGTTCGAACCACAGGCACGAACACGAGTTGATTTATCACCATCGACGGTGTGCGCTTCGAACGGGGATAGATCCAAAGGCGACGGCAAATAGTCTACTACAGCGTCAAGTAGCGGCTGCACGCCCTTGTTTCTCAACGCACTGCCACAAAGCGTCACGACGACTTGAGATGCCATACCACGCTGCACCGTGATGCGACGTAGAGCTGCTTTCAAGGTCTGGTTGTCGATCTCCTCTTCCATAAGAAATAGTTCACCGAGCTCATCATCGAAATTCGAGGCGCGTTCGATGAGCACTTGACGTCCTTCAAGTGCTCGCTCATACAAACTTGCGATCGTGCCACTTGCTGACGATATCAACGGCAACCGCTGCATCTCTATGCCTACCGCGTCCGTCCACTTGAGCAACTGCATGTCCACGAGATCTAGCACACCTTCGAACTCGGCTTCTTCCCCTACAGGCAGCTGCACACACAAGGTCTGCACTCCGAACTTAGCTTCAATCGACTCACACGACTTTGCGAAGCTCGCTCCAGCGCGATCCAACTTGTTGACAAACGCGATACGTGGCACGTTATGTCTCTCTGCTTGCTCCCAGACCGTCTCCGTTTGAGCTTCGACGCCCGCTACACCATCCAGCACGGCAATCGCTCCGTCCAAAACACGCACTGCTCGCTCCACTTCGATCGTAAAGTCCACGTGACCCGGAGTATCAATCAAGTTGATATGATGCTCTCGCCACGAGAAACTGATGGCAGCTGCACCGATCGTGATCCCCCGCTGACGTTCCTGCGGTAAAAAGTCCATTGTCGCATCTCCGTCATGCACCTCTCCCATCTGAGCAATCGCTCCAGCATAAAACAGCATCCGCTCCGTTGTTGTGGTCTTTCCAGCGTCGATGTGGGCAAGAATGCCGATATTCCGGATGCGGTTGACGTCTTCCTCCTCTTTACTGCCATTCCTATGGACACAAAGAGACGTGGCCGAGCTACAGGAACGTGGACGCGAACAAGAAGGATGCAGTAGATAAGAAGCTGTGTAGAAGGAAGCAACGGGTGGACGTCGCGAGGTCTGCAGCCGCGTGGATGCACGACGGGTACATAATCGACGTAACATTCCACTTTTATTGAGGTTCAGTAACAGGTACAAGAGCTCGAATGAGTGGCATGGGGTTGTTCTAATTTCAGTAGTCTTGACTTTGACCACTCACTATTTGATAGGTCCTTTGACTGCGGCGCACTGATCTCATGAGACTAAAGTTTCAGTCGAAATTGTGTCGACGAGCAGGAGTATTGGAAGGCAAGATTCATGGTGACGAGCCAAAGGGGTCATACAAGTATCACCTGTGGCTATAACGGTTACGTTTAGCGACTGCTAGTGGTATCAATTTCAGATTTACTTTGCCGTGAACATTTATCGCTACTCGTAAGGTAAAAAACTATCAACACTCTCGATTCTGCATATAAACTGTGTGCCAGAGGGCACGCAGTTTGTTTTGACTTTCAAAAAACTCGCTCCACCGTATCCCAGCAGAAATCTAGCATGCCCAAATCAAGCTCACCATTTTTGTGGTTGATCGAGCCGTGGAGATTATACTCCGCTCGCTCACCCTCATTTCAATTTTCGATGATGCAACAAACTGGAAAATAAAGAACAGCACCCTAAACAGGCTTACCCACCAATCCGTCAGCTATTGTCTACTATACATCTCTAGCTCGATTACGTTCTTGTTCGTTTACAACATCAATCACACTTGGCTAATTCTTTCTTCGTTGACGTAGATGCCCCGAGCTCTATTGCCGAAATGTAACGGGGCTCTAGTCACTTCGTACTGGAACACCAGTACGGAGTCAACTCTCACTGACAACAGTGAAGGTCAGTGCCCTGCTAGGTATATGCATTTTACAGAGAAGGGTAACGACCAAGGCAAAGACTCTAGTCGTAGTCAAAGTAAAACTGTTATTTAATATAATTACGCTCAATATATATTATTCTCTGTTTGTCCTAACTTAATAATATTAACATAATAAACGTATGATGACGTCCACTCATTACTTATTGCGCGCATCTAGCAGCGATTCGTGGTTTAATATAGACACTATATCAACCAATGAGTAGAACTTTAGGTCATCTCAACAATATCACTGTATTTGTGACATTGTTACAAGAATACGCAACATATCATTCTTTATTACCATTTTCTCATCATGGTAATTTCATGTAATGGGCTACCCCGTTACATAGCTGATGTCGCACTCGTTACAAACAAAAGGTTTATAGAGACCAAAAATAAACATTTTTTTGCGATGTCTGGTCCGAGGAAGGTGTTTCCTAGAGTAGCTGGCGAGCTGCTTGTAGATTTCTCCACGACGTTTACAGGGTATTTGCATAATATACATCGTATAAAACCTCATCGGCGTGGGATTGAAGTGCACTTTATATCCGACAAAGATGTAGTCATTGACGATTGTGTCTTATACTCTTCGTATCATCTTGCAATAGCCCACATATTGAAAGATTGCATTGACTCATTTGCCCTAATAAGAATTCATAACTGAAAACGAGCAGCCACAGAACGAGAAAAAGCAAAAATTAACATTTAACGCAGGAATTACGTAACACAGACAACCAGCCGTTGTTTAGAATGTCATACAGGACGACTTGTTGGAAATGCACTGCACACATTTTGGCAAAGAATGCTTGGGCGGCCTCACCGGTGACAAGAGATCACCGGTGAGGCCGCCTAAGCATTAAAAGGAGCGACTGCAATAAATTATAGAGTTGAGTCCATAAGTGCCATTTCGAAACGAGGTGACTGTTACACTGAATGTGTAGCCGACTGAACTCATCGTCTAGATATTGACATTTGAACTATTGTAAATGTATACGTATCGATGTGCATAACATCTCAGCGGATGCGACTACTTAAATTGGTTACTGACGGTAGTCTTCGCCACCGTTTGGCGCTGCACTGCACGTTAGCCAATACAGTTCACTTACTCAGCCAACAGTGTCACATCTCAATGCGAGGCGCGCGCAATGCGTGGGGAACCGATAATATAAGTACGTACGTACATATGATGTTTAATATGGTTACACCGATGACCTTTATTAGAGCAGACCATACTACTTTACCACTCGTTTTCCAGTCGCTCACAGGTATGGGTGCAACCCACACAATTAATGAATTTGCACTAATTATGGGCTTCCAGAATTTGTATGGACCGCACTAATTTTGAATGCGGAGAATTAGTGCGTATTTTATAAAACCAATAGAGCGCAGTGTGTAATAATGTATTTGTCTGCATGATTTAAAGCTCAGTTGAAATGACTTTTAGCAACGGCCAAGGGCGATATAAATTTAAACGCTTAGAAGAAGGTAAAATGGAAAGTGAATATAAGATCTAGCTAGGTCCTTAGTTCGTCTCGTTGTACTACTATTAGTTTATCAATATCGACTCGACGATATCAGTAACAAAACGATGAGTCGATCCCATCGTCACACATAATCATGCAGTGTCGTCCTTGACATGTGGTCATTGGTACCACATACAATGACATTACCAATCAGTTGGAACGAGAGTGTCATCGTAATGGATGCGATATTTGCCAAAAAATTGTTGCAGTTCCGGCGCCAATTGCGATTCGTGCCATCACACGGACATCAAGTGCCATACCACAACGAAATATAGACTTGCGAGCAAATTTCAAGTCGCAACTGTCGCGCGTCCTGTTCACCGCGCGTACGGCTGTGGCGGCGAGTTTCAATCAAGAAGCATTTGCCCGGGTTCTTCAGCTTTCCCGACCAAGAGCCGTTTTCACGCATGTGTCTGACCAGTCGAATTTTCTATCATGCGCAATTTCTCGACCTCCCACGATTCGGTACATTCGTCTTTGATTTTCGAGATGACGAAAGAGTCGGCAGGCTGAACAAGATCGGTCGAGCAGGATGTAAATAGCGTAATTCAGTGTTGGTCTTCAAGATAACATCACGTAATTCTGGACTGTCGTTGTGGCCGGCACAGTTGTTCACATATACGACAGTCCTTCGTCCAGCAATATCTCCCGTGAATGCGCGTGGCTTGCCAAACTATTGAGGAAATACCTGTAATATTGTAAAAATTATAATTATAAGTAGTAATATAGATAATTCATGAGACATGGGACACAAAACCTTTTATCATTCCAGCCTTTAGGTCCAGATCGGTATAAAGCACTAGCTACATCGTCCGGAATACCATTCATAGGGTATGATTGGCTTGAATTCTAGAAGATCATCATGGGTGCACTAATTCGCGCAAGCGAACCGCTCGTGATGTAGACCATCATGATCATCCTGAAAACACCCGACACAACTTCGGCGTATTGAACCTCTGTATCACCACGAAAATCAAGTGTACGACCGTTGTCGCAGTTGATCACGAAATGATTTTCGTTCATATTACAAAGCAGGTCCTCGTTAAGGTCTCTTTACTCGAAACCGCGACGTAACTCGACCATATGATACGCGATTGTTATCTCGATATGGTCCTGCTTCCCGGCGCTGACCATAAGCTTCTTGGTCTGTACCCGATGGACTATACCATGCACCTCCTACTGCAGCAAACAAATTCAATCAGTAAAGTTATCGATGTACAAGTGTAAACAAACTATGAACTATACACTATGAACTTTTGAACCCATCGTGTCTTGATTTTTTCGACGGTAGGTTTATCGTCGAATGGGTCGATGAAGTTGGAATTGTATAATGGCGCATCGTTCATTACAGTGCGAGCAAGTTGACCGATTAGGGCTGTAGAGAACTTGACTCCAGCGGCCTTAAACCGCATGAATTCGGACATCAACTCGAAGTACAGGTAGATTTCCAATTCAGATCGGCGCCGTCCTCTGCTAGCATCAGCCTCAAGGTTGAACCTCTTTCGCACTGATGGCACAACTGCTTTTATCTACTTTGGATTCGTACCGCCATATCCACCAAATTTATCGCGCATCTTCCACCATCTTGTGTCTTTGATATGATGGGCCTGCATACAGTCAATGTCAATACCATTGTTCCAAGAAGCTCATTTCACTACCTTGTAGATTCCGCGGAACTCTGAGGAAATTTGGTGATCGCTCTTAGGACCAGGCCTTGTTCATCATCCTGGTCTGCATCATTTATCGTCCAATTAATCACAGTGAGCCGCGACGTTATCGATACAACCTGTTGAAGCTTTCGCTTGCGCTTGTTGACGAGTTGATCATCGTGATCGTGATTCTCATCTTCAATCTTCTCTTCTCCCTCTCCTACACCTTCGTTGTCATCAAGTTTCTCGTCATCGACATCGCCTGCTGGGGCATTAGCGCCGGTAGTACGTGCAAAAGCAGCGATAATCGGTGAAGGGGAGCTCAACGCCTCGACACTGCTTGAAACCACCATCAAAGAACTTACACGGTCAAACTTTAAATGGGAATGACGTCATTTTACTGTACAGTATATTAATAACGAAATTTGTAAAGTCCGTGCGGAATCTGCACTACTTCTCAGCCTCCCAATTCGCAACTCTCTCGGTACATATAAAATCTGTATCACACTTATTCTGGACCCACACTAATTCTTATTCCACACTAATTACGGCCATCGGTGTACTAGAAAGGTAGCAGCCACAAATATACAAAGGCTTCGATCATACTAGGCACGCTTCTCTCACCCCTACCACAAAAAGTCTAAAAGCGAATTACCAAGCACATATGCATACTGTTTCCACAACATATTGCTAATAATATGTAAGTTGGGGTAGAACTTACCCATTTACACGCGGTAGCAATTTGTAATCCGTCAAACAAAATTGGACGGTTCAGCAAGAAATGTACAAGCGAGGATATCTTTACACCAAACGACAAGCTCTATCATGAAAGCGAGATATTTGATGGAAATTCATCGAGATCATGAGTTTGACCGTCGGCGATTCAGCTGTCAGTGCCATTAATAGCCCAATCGACGAATGAGCACCATGCCTTTGTCGCCAAGCTTATGATACATGAGCATAACGCAGCTAAATCATAACAACCCTGCTGCACAATAAAGCTTTGTACAAGCACAGATTGTAGAAGCTCATCAACCGGCTGCGAAGTCTGTCTGCGCAGCGGATGCTTATTAACCCAGAACAAGTAAACATTTGCATCTCCGATTAAGATACAGTTCAGTTGTATTAGGAATCTTGTTTGACGGTACGTTGTCTCAGCACTGCCATCCAGATACGTCGCATCTGTAACGGGGCACACCCTTGCGTGAACTTAACGCAAGGGTATCGTGCACCGACAAGGTGCACGAGGCAACCGAGAAAGCGGTAGGTAAGACAGAGGCAACACTGTCTTAGGGAAAAGTTGAACTGTTATATTAATATAACTAAGTCTTTAACCACTGTCTCTCTGTTTGACTAAACTCAATTATACTAATATAACTGAATGTATGACGACGTCTACTCACCACTCATTGCGCGCGTCTTGCGGCGATTGGTGGGTTGATATCGTCAAGATATCAACCAATGAGCAGACTCTTTGGTCGACCCCCATATATTACAACTATTGGTGATATTGTTAAAAGAATATTCAACATAATGTTCTTTATTGTCATTATCTCTCAAATGACAACTTCCATGTAACGGGCTGCCCCGTTACAGCATCGAAGTCAGTGAAGTGAAGGCGGATCTTAGCGTGTCCACCCTTTCTATAGTGGATGCAATGTAGGCTGTGTGGCTTAAGCCTCGACACCCATGTGTTTGGATTGTATGTAATATTTAAAGCGCGGCTCAGACAAACAATGTTAAAGCCACAAGCGAAGACCAGGGAATCGCCTGATCTCGGCTTGTGGCTGTAACGCTGTTTGTCTAAGCCGCGCTCAACCTCTGGGCTTAAAGTCTTACTAACTGTATTGTGACGAAGCCCATCGATGAGCAAGCAATGATGGCAGTATCGTGAAGTACCTTCCGAGGTAATCTTACATCTACGGTTTCTTAGCAAGGCACATGTGGAATATTGTCAATCAGGATAATATTCTCATTGCCCCAATTTGGTGTCACTATCGCGTAATGCCTCGCATCCGTTACACCGTGTCAAGAAGAAGCGTGTTATTGTGAACGTCGTGCTGGCTAAAACGAGGAATTCTGGCTATAGTGTGGCATGCACGAGTATTTAGCAGCTTTCAGTCCAAGACAAGGAGTGGGAGACAAACGTCGCTGCGAAGGATGACGCGGCAATCGCAGTTCCGCTCTTCGAGAGTTACAATCGAACTTGTCGGCCAAAGTTGAGCTGCGCATCGATGAAAGCGGCTCAAATACCGAGCTTTCCGTTGACGTCAAGCACTGAATGTTGCGCTGTCTGATGGCATACCAACAGTCGAGGTATGCTGCTTGACCATGTAGTGGTATGAAGGCGCCTAGCACAACATTACTCTGTCTCCGATATCCATGTGCCTCAAACAAGCAATCACTATCATGACCTCATCTGCCACTTGACCGAGAAAGCCTCAATACAGATTGCGGTTAAGCCTTTCATAATCGCCTAACATCGCTAAACGTGTAGTCGGCCGATCTTATATTTCGTCATGTGAGAGGTAGCATAATGCAAACACGGTCGCTTGGTCAAATCATGTACCTACAACCCGCGAAGAGGTCTCGATGACATGGTGCACGCACGTGTATGTCGAATGGGACGAGAGATGTGATGGTGGGATAGCTGAGTTGTCGTGTCAGCAAACCTGTTGACGACTGGGCGGTTAGACAAGAGTGGAACGACGCAGGTGACAAACGGAGGAGAATACAACTCTGCCATGTCGACTACCACGATACTTCTTGACAATATTCTCTTATAAATTTTACAGCAACTTCAAACGCGAGTTGTTGAGTCTGGTCTCGCTGAATCGGGGAAAGCTGGTGCGAAATGGCAAGAAATATTGGTACACCTTCTCGGAAGCTTTCCCGAACGTTACGAGCAAGTTGCGCGAAATGGGTTTTAACAACTCCTCGACCACTCGCTTGCCAGCAGTTCAGCGCGGTCGTCAACATCGCACTTGAGTGGCTAAAAAGGAGGAGTCGATACAACTAATATTCTCCAGCAGTTAATACCACTTGATCAACATCCACCACATCGTTCACCAGCCACACTCCATACGCTACCACAGGCGGCGCCTTTGTCACAACAGCTTGCAAGACACAATATCCTTCGCACCACTTGTCCGCGTTTTCGCTCACTGCGCAAGCGAAGACAAACACGCTCTGAATAATGGCCGCACGGAACATGCTGAGAAAACCTAAACGAGGCACGGCTCGCGCACGAGAGGTCCGTCCTTTTCTTCTCCCATCGCCCTCTACACATCCCCCCGCAGGCAGTCAGTCAGGCAGGCAGTCTGTCTGTCTGTCAGACGTCCCTCGCTCCCTCACAAGACCAAAGAGAGAGAGAGATAAAGAAAGAGAGAAAGAGAGAGAGAGAGAGAGAGAGAAACCACACAAACCACAAACAGGCGACCGCCGGTCCGCTCGCGCAACAAACAACAGATAACAACAGCGACAACACCCACAACAGCGACAACGTAAAAAGCAGTCGCCCAAAAAGTCTTTTTGCGCCGGCGCTCGAGTGCGCGCGCGGGGAGATCGGCCGCTCGTCTCGCAGAGCGTTTCCGAGAGCGCTGCAGCGGTCCGTCCGTCCGTCCGTCCGTCTGTCTGTCGAGCACCGACGCCGCTGCCTCTCGATCTCTCTCTCTCTCTCTCGGTGTAGTGCCTTTGTGGCGAAGGACCTCAGAGGGCGCGAGGGACCGACCGACTGGTCGTGTTGGTGGCGTCGGGGCGTGAAGTAACGCTTATGTTGCGCGCGAAACACATGGGCTTCAAGAGCGTGCGGCGCGTCGAAGTGAAGGCCGAGACGACGACGCCCGGCGACGTCCGTCCGCTCGCCGACGCAACGGGCGCGCGCGCTCCTCGCGGCCGCCGCACGCTGCCGAAGCTCGAGTTTGTCGTGGACGAAGAGGGTGCAGTGCTCCACGGGCCGCAGCAGCGCGGGCCGTACCCGTTCCTGGCGCCGTCCAGCGCGCCGCTCCACGCGGTGAACTTGGAGACGCTCGACGCGGCGCTCGAGCGCGACTTGGCCGCGAGTTTCCAGGCGCTCCACATGCGCGACTTTATGTCGCTGGCTCGACGGCCAGACGACGGTCAGGACGAGGCGAGTGGCGGCCAATCACTGCAGAGGAAGGGGCCGCAGGCGGTGGACGAGGGGGACGACGGACAGCAGGAGACGAGGGGGGACGAGCGAGGAGGGGGCTGCGGCTGCTCCTGCCCGTGCACCAATGAAGGAGTGTGTGCTGAACGACACGCGTGCCACGACGTTGGCGCTCAAGTACGACAATGCACTGGGCAAGTTTGTCTGTGGCTCGTCGATTGAGCGCTTCTCGGGCCACACGGGCGTGTGTCGCGTGTTGGGGAGCAAAAAGTATCCCGTGATTCCTCACAGTTTACGACTGGGTGATCTGCTCCGCATCGGGTCGGTCGGTCTCGTAGTGTGCGAGTTGAATCGCACGACGAGGGACGAGACGGAGGAGGCGCTGACGGTGGAACAGTATGAATTTTTGAAGGCGAATTTCCTGAGTTTGCCCCTGCAGCAGACGTTCCACCCGACAGAGCAATCGCCTACGATGGAAGAAGGTGGCGAACTCGATGACGACGAGAAAGACCAGGACGATGCGATGCGCGTGGGAGGAGACACGTCCGACGAAGGTGAATCGGAAGAAGATAAAGAGAAGAAAGCGCAGCGACGTCCGAGCGCTGATGAAGAAGAGGACGACAATGCACGACACAGTAACGTGCCTCTGGGTGTAGCTGGCATTTCAGGCAAACGATTTTGCTACATTTGCTACGATGGTGAAGATGATGTCGAGAATAATCCGCTCGTAGCTCCATGTCACTGCAAGGGTGACACAAAATACGTGCACTTGGACTGCTTGCAGCGCTGGAACAATAACTTGGACGCAGATGGAACGAATCCGAACCAGAAGGTGTGCGCTGTCACCAATACGGATGGCCTCGACGTGTGCAGTATTTGCAAAGCTACGTACTTGACGAGCGTGCGTCTCGATGACGGCCGCGTGGTGTCGCTTCTTGTGAAGAAGCTGCCTCCACCATACGTCACGTTTGCTGTTGTGACACAGCATGAGACGCGGAACCGCTCAACCGCACTCACCAACACGCGTTTCCAGCTCAGCTTTGCAAAGTACGTTACAATCTGCGGTGAACGATGTGCTGCGATAGCTGAGTACTGATTGCTTCACTGTATCTGCAGCATGCCACGAAACCAGCAATACCTGACGATTGGCCGCTCGACTACTAACAACATGACCCTTCGCTACCGCACGGTGTCTCAGCTGCACGCCAAAATGAAATTTCAGGATGTACGTAGTAGGCTTCGTGCCTGCCGAGATTTCGATTCACACGTTGACTGATACTTTAATCGTATTGTGTGCTATTAGAATCACTTCGTTCTGTTTGACGCGTCTAGCTCGAATGGCACAATGTTGTTTTTAAGCAAACCGCTGGAATTGGATTGGAACAAGGTGATGCACGTGAAGATCGGCCGTACCATTCTGACACTCAAAGCCAAGAAGAAATGGAAATGGGCAGGGTCTGGGCCTGGAGAGGATGAAGAGGACGAAGATGGTGGACGCGTTGCGTCACCGCGCACAAGTGCATTGAGTGGGACTCCGCGAGGATCAGAGAGACGTCGCTTCAGCTCCGGCATGGCAGCCAGAAGTGTTGGTTTTGATTTGGGTGGCAGCAGTACGATTGATGACCCGAGTGCCGAGTTAGTGGCCGCACCGTATTCGAGTCACTTACCGCGAACATACACGGCGCCAAACGTGCTGATTTCGCGTCTGAACCGTAGTACACAGCCTAGCGCGTCCAACTCTCGACCATCACGACAGCGGTCGTTTTCCAGCATTGCTCCAATCACAGGCAGAGACAGTGCGTTTGACGTGTTCCACGCTGACGAGCTGGAGCGTGATGAGCCTGGCACTTTTGTCACACAGGCTGCTCGAGAGTCATTGATACTTCCTGTGACATCGGCTAGCTCGCGCGACTTTGCTGCTCCGAATGCGTCGCTACCGTCGACGTCTCAGCTCGTGAGTGGAGGTGTTATTGGCGCCAGCACCGATTTGCCGAGTCGGGTGGGCCAAGGTATGCCTGCTTCACGGCACGTCATGTACGATATGGTGGACTCTCTGGCCGAGCATGGAGCGAGTCTTGTCGTCGCGACGATGAGTCCTGCTACGGGCTTGATGGATCAAGAGTGATAGTTGGGCTGGTGCTTTTGTCGTTCCTGTTCCCATTGCAGCGCTGTGGCTGGCGCTGTGTTGCGCTCTTGGATGCCGGCGCGGCGACATGTGCTTTCTACTCGTATATTTAACCACAGACGATCGACAAAAGCGCCGCAAACTTGAACGAGTACATACATTTGTTTTGCTTCCTTATGCTTGTTCCGTGGGAGCTCCGTTGTTCGATCCCAGTCCGTCCATGGTCATTCCTAGCAGCGCTTAATGATGCGCGGATTTGTCATGACATGTGTTGCTACACTTGCACGAAAACAATACGTTTCGTACCTGGACGTGTTGAACTACCTACACTGGTCCAGTAAACACCCTTATCAGACCAGCGACCCATTTTGTTCTTCACATCATGCAATTTGTATGGCAGCCTTATGTTCGCGCAGTCGATACGTTTGCTTGCTGATCTCGTGGAAGAGCTGACGTAGCGCTCTAGAAATGCTGAATAATTAAGGCCAAGTCAATATATTCTACTCGTGCTTTACGCACGTACTGTTTTTGGTGGGATCAGGTATCTTTAACTTGCATAAATCTCAGAGACGACCGAGCGTTTATACATTCTCAATGGAAAACGCGTCCAGCTTCTCAACAAATGCACCGATAACACAATATTTGGCTTGTAAAACATGAGCATAAGCCGCAAATTTTGAAACATGTGCTTGAGCCTTAAACTTGCTAGATAGCGACTGCTTCTATGAATAACTGAGCAGATACTCGTTATCCAGATTCAATCAACGAGGCAGTGTCGTTGGAAGTTTAGTTTACGTATCTTTACGATATGCATGTGGGCATCGAGTGTCCACTGACAGTTGCTCGGTCGAATACAATAGTCATTTCGAGTAGACGACCTTAGATTGGAACGCTGAGAAATCGGTCGTGGTGTTGCCAAAGATGTGCGCATGATATCACATTTAGCATCCCACTCACCGGACGTAAGCGGCACCACGCCCTATATAGCAACGACGGTCGTATATGTGCTTAAGGCTACACTCTCTGTGCCATCTGGTCGTTCTACGCGAAGATCAAATCGGATCTTGTGCAGCCGGGTCGAATAAAGGAGTAAGCTCGAACGTGTCGTCATGGCGCGGAAGTGCTATTATGGAGCTATATCCCGCGTACACTGAGCCAGTCATTGCACTTCTGAAAGTTGTCCGATATTTGTGCTAGAAGCACACAGGTGACCTTCAGTTTCTTTGTCTTCAGTGAGAACGATCGCTGTCCGCATGTTGTCTATCCGTCTAGTCTAAACTATCGTAGTGCATCTGAGAAGCGAAATGTCTGCAATGCACTATGACCTGTTTCGTACGTTGCAACGAGACGCTTGCAAGTAAGCAAGCGCGCTTGTACCTCATGAGCGGAAGTACCATCAATATACGACAGGCATTCGGAAGAACAAGCCAATGGGATAGTACAAAGACTGACAAGTCTATCGAAATCGATAGTGTTGTTAGCTATGACGATGACAAGAATGCAGGGCTCTCAGGCTGACATTACAAAGTCATTCAGTACGACCAGACAAACTTATTTACTACTTCGTCTGCAACTCAGCACGTAGGTGTATTATTTATACTGGAACTGCCGGGTGAGCGTTCCTATCGCACCACCGGCGCACTTGAGTTAAGTGGCGGCACTATAAACGCTACCTATATCACGAACCAATGTTACTTTGCTCTACTCATGTATGTGCACTTCGCATACATAAAAACGAAGACGTCACGATCCTGGTAAATACAACATCGTTTCAGTCATAATTGTCGAAGCGCCGATCGTTGCAATGCGCTAACACTTTGTGGTACATCCGTTGATGTGTCAGATTGTCGACTGCTGAAACGTTGCGCTGCGAGGTGTGTAAACACCATCCGTATGTCTGAGCTCGTTGCAACGTCTATGTGTAGTACACCTTTTACCACTATTTCCTCTATCCCAGCAATGATCACCACAACTGATAAGGCTTGCATGCTTTCGATTTCCGCACCATCGTACCAGGACGTACAATAAACAATTTGATTCTCTTTAACGTTAAAGGTGCGATCCGAAAGTCTATGGGACTAAGTACTCGCTTCAGCGCGCAATGAGTTTAATGATCGCGCGAACATCGTTGACAGTATGATCAGGATTCGCATCCTTCGCCGTGCTCTTGCAGCACCAAACCATACCGTATATTCTGCCCTCTGATATTCCAGATAATTGCACTAGAGTCTTCTATCGATTCTCATCGCGTAGCAGATATACATTCCTCAACCAGTCTCACCACGATTAATCAGCCAACTAGTTGATCGCTTCTTCTACAACCATGGCCATGTCCGTCTACATGGCATCTCTCCTGCTCTTTTCGATTACATCCCAGCCACGGATGTTGGCATAAATAAGCAATTACCAGCTGGTCGGATCCATAGGTGTGGCCATTTGGACACGAAGACGAGAGATCACTGTCGCATCTAAGGCAACACTGTGATATGGAAGTGAAGGGACAAGCTTTATGTGTAGTATTGCAAGCCATACGTGGAGATGTATGGACCCAAATCACTTTTGTAGTCACGATCGAGAACCTCATCGACGATGGTCAAGCTGCTTAGTGAATATACGAACCAAAGATAAGTCTGTGATCGCTCGGTCACACATACAGTCCAAGGTAAAGTCATATACTCGTGCCGATCTCACGGATGTGCTGGTATCAAGACTTGACAGTGCATGTCAAATCGAGCGATCCTGCATTCATAACTCGCAATCACGCGCTAATATCGACTACTGTCCTTGTTACTATGTAGTCCCGTGATAGCGCTCATTTCATCAAGAGCAAGCTGTCATTGTACATTTATTTCCACGGAATCCAGATCTCGCTCTACTACTCGATCGCATCATCTATCTTTCTTGACTCGTTCGTTCGCTACTCCGTATATGTACCTCACGATTGATACTCGTTAAAATGGTTTCAACGGACATGCACAGATTCATCGAGTGGATTGGTCTTAGCATTCACAGCTTCTTCTATGTCGGCGACTGCGTCGACCGGCCTTCTTTATCATTGCTGCCAATTAGATGCGTGATGAAGTAGCGCAGTAGAATTTTGTTGGGTTGTGTGGTTACAGCATCTACATGCAGATCCGATTTGACGAGGAAGGGTAATGCCATGGTAGAGCAGGTGTTACCTTGGCCGAACTACGGTCTGCCACCAAGGGTTGCAATTTGCACGTACGATCACATTGATGCTGGCACTTGTTGCGCTGTCCAAAAGGTGTGGGCATAGGCGAGTAATAGCAGATGGCACTTACGACCCTTTTTGTTGTCAACAGTTACCAACCTAAGATCGAAATACACGTGACATCTCCATTACCAAGCAAGTCATTACGAAGCTCACTTCGTCCAGCTGACGATGCTGGAACTCGTTTAAAGTAGCTCCGTTGCCCCATGAATCGTCATCACACACACTCTGTCCAGCTGGCATTTCTACAACTTGTGCTCACAAGTAAACACACCCGTTGTGTGCAAAGTAGAGAGGAGATGCACTACATTCAAAGATACGAGAACAAGGTCAGGCATAGCCAGACATTGGCGATCATTCGCGTAGCGTTACCAAACGCATTATATACCGCATTGCTTTGCACCTTCTTTTGACAGCAAGTCGTTCACTCGAACGTCTTGAGATCAGCGTGACTCCATTCCTTGATTCCTTCGTTGCCGTTTTCGTAGTCATGGACCATGGCTTTTGCCACTGCTTTGACCGAAATCTGAAATGACTGCCACGAACAAAGTCACAAGTACGAAATTAGCTTCTCTATCTCTATTCTTCCCGCCGCCTTTAATGGCATCTCAACAAAGAGAAAGCAACAACGAACCCCCGGTATCATCCATCCAAACATCCTTTCCGTGCCTCGCAGCAGATCTCCCCGTTGCAACATGCCCGGCCGGAATACAGACCACCGGTCAAACTGTAGCTGCTGCACCTTGTCCTCAACTTCTCCCTTCGTTTGAGGATACAGGAACCAGCTGTCTTTGTTTGCGCCCTGGGATGTCAATAGTCCAAAGTACGGGACACCTGCTGTCTTGGCCAACTCAGCAACTTGATGCACGTACTTGAGATCCACTACAGAAACATAAAGATCAGCAAATGTGGTCCCTCTAGTCGTTTAAACACTGCAATAGGTACAAATGGCTTACAACGCAAAAGCTGTACCTTTTCGAAATGCTTCCCCTGAACCGGCATCTTTGCGGGTTGTCCCTAGACACGAGAAAACCGCGTCCACTTTGTCTGTAGCCGCAAGGTCCGAGTCCGACAGGCGATCAAAGTCCACCTTTCGCACTGTGAGCTTTTTTGCTGCTACAGCACAGTCCATCGACGGAAACACGGATGTCCACATTGACTCGGGTATGTCTCGACGCGTGAGTGCAATGACTTTGGTGCATCTGGACGAAGATACGAGTTCTGCGACGAGATCGCGACCCACTGCACCCGTAGAGCCAATGACGAGCGCCACGTACAACGACATTCGGGTCGGCTTTATTTGCGGGAGGCAGAAAGATACTCGACGAATAGATTGGCGTGCAGACTTTTGAGAGGTGTCTCGATATCGCTATTGGGCGGCAGCAGACAGTCGAAAGGCGGTTTTATTTTTTGCTTTTTTGCGTTTATCGCTTTGTTTATGTTACATTGACAACACTATGTGCAGTACCACTCAAGTGCTCGTACAGCAATCGTCAACTGGCAAGACAGACAATTCTCGAGCACTGCCTGCAACGCAAAAGCCAGGTTAAGTCATCTACAAAGCTTCTTAGCACTTTCTCACTCGCACTCATACGTTATCATTGTCATCGTTTGAGTCAGAAAGGATGACGAACGTGGTTTTGTTTCCTCGTTGGTAAACTGCGCTGTGTCGTTTTTGCTCGACTTCTTTTCAAACGGCAGCATTACAAGCGTCGTAGGTTCTTTTGCTGATTGGACCGATCGACGTTTTCCCTTTCTCCCTTGTTGAGCACGACTGTCCCTTTAGCATCTACGTGTGCTGGGTAACAAAGACGATATTGTTCCGCATGAGATAATGAGAACTCAACTTCCAGCCGTTCAGCCATCCAAACGTTTCTTGTATTTCTTTTATGAGCGACATGTTCGATAAGCGTCCACCAGTACATGCGAACACATCTTGACCAATCGATTCAGACTGGAGCAGACGTTCGCTTGCATGCGAAATGTTAGATGACTACTTCTTCGTCGACTTTCGTCTTTCGCGAACTTACATAAGCCTTTATGCGAACAATTAACAAACTGGGTACGCGTCTCGCATCCTTGTGAACGTCAATCACAGTCCTTGCACTTCATTGCATACACATCAGCTTCAGCTAGCATTGCAAGCAAGTGCAGCTGCCAATCTAGCGCAGCTGCAGAGACTCGATCAACTTATGCAACGTCATCATCGTGCATCGGTCGTAATTACGAGAGAGTGACGCACGGTCGATCCGATTGTTCTGTCAGTCGTAGTGCAACGTTCATAAGGTCATACATACGATTCCTTGTATTTACTCATGAGCTGGAGTAAGGTCTCCCGTCATCTCATTCTCTGTATGCTTCACGTGCCACGTCTGACTCCATGCTGCAGTTGCACTCCTGGATGCATGACGCATCTGCTTGCATGGCACGTTGTTGGACCACGAATTGCTTCCAATTATAGCTTCAGTATCGCGAACACGGCCCCGACCTCATCGATTCTATCCCGTGCGCCAGCAGTTTCCGCACAAAGGTGACCAAGTCGATGAGTAGATAGCTGAAGATGCACGTTGGCTTTTTCATTTGTTCATTCGGTTTTGACGTTGTACACAGCACATCGAGTCAACGTCAGTGGCACCGGTGCAAAGTCCATCTGGTGCTGCCGCGTGATCGTCAATGTCGTCTACTTGTCCTTCGCACAACCAAGTAATTGAGCATTTCTTCCGAGTGCGTTTGGTCACAAAGCTTGCTTGGTTCTATATGACATCCATGTCGAGTCATTGACTGTCCAAGCGCGTATGTCGCGACATAACAATTTGGAAACGACGTGTGTCGGTCCCGCGTGTCGCGACAAAACGATTTGGAAACGATGTCTGTCGGTCCTGCAAGTTCTTATCAGGATCGCTACCCTGCCAGATGCAGCTTTTCATAACGAGCCACTGATCTAGTACGAGACCACAATGATGTCACGAAAAGACAATGTGTCCACGCAGCCGGATTTCATAGGGTCTCGTCTAGTTGACCTTGGCATCACGAATACCGATATGGTTTATAGCGTTCTCGCACTGCTTTCGACCCGTGTCGCTGTCATTAAGTCACATATTATTCGCAGTCATCTAAAAATAACAACAACACTGTGCAAAACAATGAGCGACGCGGCAGCCACGGTAGACCTCAAATCGTCAGTGTCATTATAAATGATTGCTGAGCCAAAGAATTCTGCAAATACGTTACTTGTCACGCCAAATTGCGTCAGACATCTTAGCTACGTCCACCATCTCGGCGCCGTCATGTACGCGTAGAATGTCTGCTCCTTGTTCGATGGCAGCGCAACACGTCGCAGCGGTACCATAGACGCGGTCTTTCGGTTCTGGACGCCCACATATCTCGCCGATAAACCCTTTGCGAGACGAACCCACCTGAACGAATATGCGCGTTGACGTGAGCTAGGTGACTTCGGCGTATTGCAGCTCGCACCACTACCGGTATTCAATGTCGCTACGTACCAGAAACGGTGATCCCCGGCACATTTGTTTGATCTTTGCTAGCTTCCGTAGCAACCTCAGGTTCAGAACTCGACCTTTAGCAAAACCAATACCGGGGTCCAAGATAACGTTCCATCGAAAGATGCCAGCAGCCTCCGCTGCCGCTAAGCGTGCACAAAGCACTTCAGCAACTTCAGCAACCACATCGTCATACTCCTACGGTACAAATTAAAAACAGACGAGTCAGCTCTGTGGCAAAGGCCCTTTCGAACAGACAATGCATGTCGTTTACGCCATACCTTGAGACACGTCATAGTCTGCGGTGTGCCTCGCATGTGCATGAGCACAATCTGTAACGAAGTCATGCGGTCAACATTCAGATCGGTACTCACTACAGCTCTTGTAAAAACAAATCGAGCGCAAAATGACTTACGGGGACGCGCAACTTTGCGACAACAGCGAGCATCGCATCGTCCTTCAACCCTGCAGATATGTCGTTGACCACGTTTGCGCCTCCGTGAATCGCTTGACGTGCGATTTCCGCCTTGGTCGTATCGATTGAGATAGCAATATCACTCTTCTCTCGAATGCCGCGAATCACTGGCAACACGCGCTTAAGTTCTTCTTCTTCGGTCACCACGTCTGCTCCAGGACGACTCGATTCACCGCCAATGTCAATGATGTCTACACCAGCACGTTCCATTTCCAATGCTTTCTGCACGGCAGTAGCAACTGTTTCCATTTCAGCGCCATCACTGAAGCTGTCAGGTGTAACATTCACGATTCCCATGACAAATGTTTTGCTCCCTAATGACCAAGGTGCACGTTTGATGACTGGAAGCATCGACGTGGGAGCAACATGCCGTTGCTCGCTTGCTCTCAACTTGTCATACAGGTCTTGCATCGATACTTGGAGCACCGGATGAAGCCAATCTGCAAGTAAAAACAAGTCAAAGTTCCGTTTCGGTCGCAAAGAAAAGCAATGATGAAGATAGAGCATTTTTTACAGCCAACCTGGTGCCAGATCACACATCGGAGCAAGCACAAAGTCTCTCTCAGCAATGCGTTCGTGCGGGATGATAAGAGGTCCTTCTTCCGTCTGCGCTTTTAGCTCCAGATCCTCGTAAAATAAAATGTCCACGTCGATAAGTCTTGGCCCCCATCTATCGAAGACAAAGTTCACACAAAACCGTGCTTTTTCACATCTTTCGACGTCTTTCACGTTAGACAACCGCAAATTCGTCTGTACCTGAGCGAAGGCGTGCGTCCCACTTCTCTCTCAATACTTTTGAAGGTCTTCAGCAGCTGTGGAGGACTCAGATCCGTCTGAAAGGTGGCCACGAGGTTGAGAAAACCCGGCTGATTTTCCACGTACTGCGGCGCCGTACTATAGAGGCGCGACGTGGCTTGTAACGGTCCGACTTCTCGGGATAACATGGCCAGCGCATGTTCCAGATTCAAGACCTTGTCACCTGTTAAAGCGGTCGAGTGAGGTACAGCAGATTGCACTAGTGTTACTCCATAGACACAACTTAGATCGAGACGGTCGTTAGGCAGTACCTAAGTTTGTGCCTAAAGCGGCGTACACACGTGCCATGATGTAGTAAGTGCGGCGACCCAATTTGGCGTCTGATCGGGCGGAAGAGACCTGATCCTTTTTTTGCTCCTGCGCGCTATCGCTGGATGTAAACTTAAGTGAGTAAAAATAAGTCCCTTGTGTCCATTCAATGTCATTTGTGCCGCAAAAAGAGCTGCGAGATAGACACGTCTTCGCCCTATCGACCGAGTCGAAGCTTCTTTTATTTGCGCCGACGGTCCTGCTCGCCGCTCAACTGGTCGTGTCAGATAATTGGGAGTAGTAAAATGCAGAGATGCGATGTTCATGCAAACATGAAAGCAGTTATGACGTGTCGCTAGAACAATGGAAAAGTGCACACCATCGTTTCTCTAATGAGTTGACATGGACTCCTCTAGACGCACACGCATGCAGAGTTATGTTGAGATGGTTTTTATCAAGATAAGGTTAAAGTGTTCCGACAACGAGACACTCGTACATCAATGAAAGGGCTATAGCTGGAGCTTCAATCTATGGAATTGATGATACGATTCTTAGTTTGTTGGATATGAGTGGAATGCTTTTTAGCATGGTAGGACCATGGTCGATAGCATCGACTAGTGGTAAGTGATGTAGAAGCATAACAAAAGCAGCGCGTTGTTAATAAATTGGTCCGCTCCCGTTACATTCGGACCACTGACATAGCCATCTGAACTAGTTTCCTTCTAGTGTGCGGCAGCGGCAGGAAAAGATAGCACTTTGTTCAAAATGAATTTACGTCTGGTCCGCAAGCACACGCCATTGGCACTACTTGCATGGTGCGCATGATGTAATATGCCGACAAAACCGGCACTTACTCTTTAAAGTGCAGTATCTGGATTAGAGCGGTCATAGAAAATCAAGATCAAATGTTAGTGTTTTCCACTGACGTCCGCCGGTGCAATGAACGCAAACACGTGTCGCGTCGAAGGCTATAAACAATGAAATAAGCGCTAGCAAGCAGGTGTGCAGCAGGTTTCAAGTTGTAGACGGCTGTTAGTTGACTGAGCAACTGATCGCGATTTAGATGTGATACGCTGACCAGCACGAGTGCATTGGTCTAACAGCGCTTAAATAATGCTGCGATTGAGAGTAGTGCATGTTTCTTGCTATCATCGACTAGTGTAGAAATCGATACGAGGATCGTGGAGGTTTGAGCAGCCCGCCTCATCTGACCAGCTACAAGACATACTGGTAGTATAAAGGAAGGAGTGCACCATCGTGTGCGTTGGCATAAGGCTACCAAGAAAGTAAAAAAGCGAAGTTGTTGTAATACTCGATACTTTTCTTTCACATACATATATTCCATACTCGCACCTACCGCGGCATATTTGAAGTGCACGACAAAAGTTGACCGTCTGAGGTGCCATCTTTCAATACAACTCAGCTGAAGATGATGACGTATGGTTGTAGTGCAGTAGGTAAGTTAAGTTAAGTTACGACGTACAACATCCATCCGTTCTTCACACGCTAAATGGTCGTTCGAAGGCTACTAGCATTTCCAATCATTTGAACACTGACAATAAAAGAAGAAGGCGAATATAGGCGAAGGACGATGTCAACGACGTTGTCATCGCTTAATGTCCAGAGATCGTAACAATTTCAAAGAGCCCACCAACGTTCCCATAAAACGACCTGACACATCATACAGCTACTCTCTTTTTTATTTTCCACTGTGCCAGCATTATAAATGATGCCAGTATGGTTATCAACAAAGTGTATTCGTTGGGTACCTTGCCACTAACATCATATGCTTTCAACCAGCCGATATCTTGACCCGCAGCCACACCTTAGTGACACAAACATTGATCATTTTTGGTCTTATTTGTTGCCCGCAAAAAGGATACAAAACAAAGTGACAGCTCTGAGAAGCGGTAGTCTCTTTATCGATTGGTACCTGGCGGTGATGGAACCAGCATAACACCCCATGTATTGTCACTCCTCCTCGCAGATCACGCCAATTGTAGGCCAACGACAGTGCACAGATATTGTAGTCGAGGTGCTGAATGTAGTTTGGTCAGGATCCCAGCTAATATGTAATGCATCGTCAAGTAGGTACGTAAAATTACGCCTTTCTTGCCGTAATCACCAGTAAGCCGAAAGCGCAAATCCGCAAGCTTTGCCTCGATCCAGCTTCCTTCGTTTATGAGTTGTTTAGAAGTAGCATAAAATCCATTCTACCTCAATCTCCTTGGACTAAGAATCTCTTTATAGACGATATAAGCAGTGTAATGGGGCACGCTCTTTCGAGATGAGTGGTGAGTCCTTGTGTTAACAGAGCACAAGGCTGCGTACTCCCGACGCCACGCACACGTGGCGTGATGAAGCGCGAGGAAGTAAACAGAACTCGGAAACTTTGTTTAAGTGAAAAGTAGAACTGTATCTAACAAAGTTATGTTTCTTTGTAAATCATCCTTTGTCTTGATCTAACAATATCAAACATTAATGCCATATGTGCGTTTCTTTCTCACCACCCATTGCGCGCGTCCACCAGCAATTGGTGATTGATTTGGTTAATGTACATCTTATTGACCAATAAGTGGAACACCCAAGAATATTACCCTCGTGGGTAATATTTCGCCAACATTACCTCTTCTCGAGTAATGTTGATAGAATATTATCTAAATCGATAATATTCAAAAATTGATATATTCGTATAGATTTCATGTGACGGGCCCACCATTACACGCAGCCACAACTTTATATATAGCTGTAAACAATGTTTTGCTCTTTTTTTGCAATGTCAGAACACGATAATTCTATTTGCCTTTTCAATTTCTTTACTCACGGCTTTTAGCCTCTCTTATCCCCTACAAAAAAGCATGAATGAAACAGCGGTAGATTGAGCCACTGCCACAGTACCAAGCTGTTTTTAAATTAGCGCCTTTAGAACTTTGATCGCACTATACGTATCAACAACTTTGCTTCTATAGATTTTGCATATATAATCATGTTACATAGCAAAGATGCAATAGGTGAAGTGCAACCGAAAAAAAACGAGTGCGCACCGATTCAAACGTATCGATTTTAAAGTGCATGGGTGCACCAGGACCAACTGCCGGTAATAGCGTTGCTCCTTTAAAATCTGTATGTCGGAACATCTTTGTTTATTACATCTTAAGATTGAGCTTGTTGATTGAGTCTGTGCTTGGACAGTAACTCAACTATAAATTTATCTTAAGGAATCTGGTATATTCAGTAGGAATACTAACGAATATGCGTTCCAAAAATTTAATTTATGTTAAGTCTAGTAAGCATCAATTAAAGACACTTTATGATCCAAAATATTATTTTGAAAAACTGATTACTTGTAACATTACCTCTACACCCTCCACGTAAATTGGAAATTTTTTTTGCTACATCTTGAACTGGCTTATTGCACGAAAATGGGTCGATAATAGATTGAATAAATACAATTTTTGGCAGTGTTAAAATGTAGCGATTGGTACTACAGACTTACAGTCTGCTTTAATCCTTTTTAAGCTTGTCTCCAAACAAAGCGATTAATATTCTTGGAACCACATCGTACCCAGATAGATTCACCGACGTAAAAATGATCCTGCATCAATAAGATGGATCGATATTTCAGATTCTTTAACAGCGGGTACATTAATACTTAACACGTCGAAATGCCGGGTAGGGTTTAAGTTCAAATCCACGTGATTGTAAATGCTGACTATGCACTTGTCATGCCTAGTGGTGTGACGCAAGGCAGCAAAAAGTTTATACTGAGCACCTTGTTTAGTACTACACGCAGTAAATCTTTCTTTAACGTTCAATTTGCGTGTCAATCGTAAACATATTTCTATATGCCAACTTGTTAATTTGACGCGAAATTCAAAACTCTATCTATTACACTCTTAACGTGCAACTGAAAAGCAGGGCAATGATCTCAACTCATTATTCTATACGCTCTCGCTATAATTGTGTCGGGAATGCGTATAGCATCGCAGAATATTTGGGTGCGCAAACGCGCATGTATAGATTGTATAATTGCAAGTTGGTCGGAACTGCAGCATCCATTCATAACTAAATTCTGGCGAGCAATACCATAAAATATAGTGTTAACTGTATTTATAATCGCGCACGACGGCTTTGAAAAAATTAAAAAGTATAGTTCTACCCCCGCAGTACAAATTGACTTATTTGGAGTACTATTTGACAGAATTGACGTACGCCGAATCGGTAAATCACCATCACAACTCAAACTTTATAGCTCTGTGATAAACCACAATATGTAATGGAGGGCAGTATCTACTTCATTTGAATGTCCCATTATACACTTACGGTTTTCTAGACGCCCGTAACACACCGAATGGGATGTCTGACAATGCGCAAATTAAACGAAAAATCTGAATTGATGTATTTACATTAAAAAACATGTATAGAAATGATCTCTGCTAGTGTTGATTACGTGCGATTGCTTCTCATCCGGCTGCCAAAACACAAACTTTGTTGGAATGCGCCTTATCTTTGTCAACAAAGACACATATCAATTGGTGACAGCTTCATCCAGTTTATAAATCTTATATTCTTATTCCTATCTAGTTGCATCAAATGCCCACATACTCTTATTTCTTGCTATATACCTGTACTTGATTACAATTGATTAGTATTATTCTATTCTGCAATTTTGCGCGCGGTGACCAGCTTGACTGTAGTCTCAAATCTTCTTAGGCACAATTTTGCATCAATCAGATTGTTAACACTGTAAATTTCGCACATTTCCTTCTTCTCATTCATTATTACATTCTACACGATTATCTCATTAGCGTTATGCAAGTAGTCATTGCGATACCAATTGTATTGACCTACGTTCAACGCTTGAGACCTTGGTTGTGTATTTCTTACGATCCCTTATGTTTGTACAAAATGGTTTTTTTGCCTCCTTCATGGCTATAAAGCAAAGCCTACTATTAATAAGCAGCATACTTTTATACGTCCGTTTTCCCACTTAATACGTTTGACATTTATTTTGGCAATATGTGTAGCCATACACTATC